GGGATCTCGGGCTCAGGCAAATCCAATTACCCGTCGTTGTTCTCGGTTATTGTTGTTACATGCTCTGGGTACTTTAATTTTAATTTGCCGGGCAGCTGCAAAAATGAAAAGAGAAAAGCTGGCCAACACGCAAAGTCAGAGCTGTTGAAATTGTGCTAACCTTGGATATCTCGAGCTGGTTCGTTTTATTCACTCTGCTAATTTGAATTAATTTTGTTGTCAACACGTAGTCATATAAGGATGTGAACAGTTAGCAGGCAATCAAAGGTGTAATTGGCAGGCCCAAGGAAGTTGGCAAAGCAGGTGATCTGAGCATGGGAAAGTAGCTGCCCTCAGATGGGTTAAAACAGATTTTTCGGAGATTGTGTAACCACTGGAAAATTCGATGGGGGGACCACTTTGAAAAAGGGAACCACAAAAGGAGGGAAAGTAAAAGAGGTACAATAAACCAAAAAATAAACAATGCAAGAATGGTACCCCTAGATTGTCAAAGGAAGTCAAAAAACTTGCTAACTCTATTTTAACAAATTTGTTGAAAAGGTTTTGTAACTATTAAGAATATATAACTGCAAAAATGTTATAAACAACAGTTCACCAAAGCAATCAAGGTCAAAGAAAATTGTATAATCTAAATAAGATAATATCCAACATTTGCAGATGGCCAGAAACTTTCCTTACTTTCCAATAACACTTTCGCAGCCCGCCTCTAACGGAACCCATTGAGCTGTACCCAATTTAAAGATCTCTGCCACAGATGCAACCAAAAATCTATTAACGATTGATAGTGCGGTTGTGCAGATTGGAGGAGTCCACCTCCCAGGTCTCTATGTAGGTTGCCTAGGAACGCCCAAAGATCTCGGCGAGCTCGTTGGGAATCGGTACCGCCGTTAAATACAGACCGCAGATTCTATAAATCAGGCGTATTTCTCAACACCTCGGTCGCGCAGTCGAACGAACACTTTCAACCCGCTCATTAAAAACCATTAAGGAAAATATTTCGCTTGGGAAAAATTATGGCGTAAATGATACCCAGGCCCGCCTCCAGCCAAACGGCCACCCCCTTTGGGCCAACGACAATAAACGACCTCCAAGCCTCGAGCCCGGCTCGCAATTCGGCTTAAACGCGTTCCGCGACTTAACTCGGTTTCTGTGTCATTTTCTTGTCTGCAGCTCGGGTTTAAGCGTCAAATAAATTTAAGTTTACACCTAAACAGCCGGCCGACCAAAATAAAATAAAGCACTAGGAAAACTAAAAGGAAAAACTTTTGCGTTGCTGTTCTTAGGCATTTTTTTCTTTTTTTTTCGTGTTTTTTTTTTTGGTTTTGTACTCTCAGCTTGCAACGAACATTTGCAACAATTTGTTATTGGCCATTTAAGCCGTTTGTTGTTGGCCGTTTGTTGCTTTTGGCCGTTGGCGCACCAGAAATCTGTTGAGTGTTAATGACATTTTTATGTTTTAACGCTTGAAAAGCTGCGGCCGCGTCCATTTTGGTGGTCTGGCTGGCCCCCTGGGAAATGTTTGGGCCAAACGGGGGGGTGGTGGAAAAGTCCGGTTGGAATTCCCGCACCTGGCTATGCTCCATTTTTTGCGTTTTCCATTCTTTGTTTTTGGATCGAGAGAGGTCTGGTTAACATTCGTAGCTGGTTTGAATTATTGACTCTGTCTCTGCTCATCCAGCTTTAATGGGGATCTGTTGTTGGTCAGCCTATTTCTGGTCGAAATGACAGGTGACCTGGCCGGCAAATGGTTGTATCAGCTTTTTAACAAATGGTTAACAAATTGAAAGCAACAAGCTAAAAAAAATGAATCAAATATATGTTATATGTCATACAAAAACAAACATATATTTATGTTTTTTATAACACTTTATATTTAAACAAACAACATTATTTTTAGACAATCTTAACCACCGATCAGAAGTGTGTTCACATTTTTTTTCAACCAATTTATCACCACAAAGGCCGGCATCTCAATCAGCCATCCGGCTTTCTCCTTTCTCCCCTCCTCGCCAAAGCAAATTCAATTCCGTTCAGTTTTGGTCTCAACTTGTGTCAACATTAATTAAATTTTCTGCGCGCATTTGCAAAACTTTTTGAGCAGCTAATTGGATTTTGGTTGCTGCATCGCCAGCAACAAAACAAAAATAAAGCAAATTCGCGTGCAGCCGCCGACTAATAACCGCCGAAGCAAAGCCGCCAAAGTCGCGGAGAAAAAAAGTACGAAATACAGAAAAACCAGTCGCCTGCTGCAAGTTTCCTGCCTTGGCTCCTTCCAACTCCTGCCTGCCTTTCCGCTCCTGGGGAAGTTTTTCAAGCGAAAAAATGTGTATAAAAAAAGGAAATACTCCTATTAAATGTATTCCTTTGTTTCAGGCTTCACTGGTGCCTGAAATTTCGCCAAATGTTTTCTGTGCCGGCCATTCGGCATTTAATGATTTACGTGGTCCAAACAATTCAAGGGAAACACGTAGAGAAAATTGGGTTTTCAATGTCAGTATTTAATTTTGCGAATAAACAATTTTTTGAAAATAATGTTTTCACAACTGTTTGAAAAAAAAAATTAAAAGTACTTACTCCAAGAACTTGAACAATTTTATAAGTACAATCACTACATTTTTTACCCGGAATATAACTTGATAATTTTTTCTAAGTGCAGGCCAAGCAGGTGGTCTCGGGCCGAGGACAAAACTGTTTGACTTTGGCCGGCGCGGAATGCGTTTGCGGGTGGAAAAAGTCTGGTGCGGCAATTAACAAGTGCAACGACTCCGCCGCTTCCTCATCCACATCCTCGTCCTGATCCTCATCCTGCGCCGCTTCCTTGGCAACTTCCTTCCCCGCCACTTCCGCCAACCAAAACCCGGCGATACAATGGCCAAAAAAGAAACGCTCCAACTAATAACACTTAACCGAAGCTTGGGCCTAAGCCAAAAGCCAAGTCTTAATTATGGCAAACAACTCTTTGTTTTTAGTTCGCTGCTAAAACGCTTCCTGCAAGACAAAAAGCTGCCAGCTACTGAATTTGCGTTGCACTCGGCTGGGCTGAGGTTTCCCCACCCGCCTCTCTTTTCCCCCCTTCTGAATTTTCCGTGAAAACTGCACTGTGCATGTCGCTACATATCAACAAAAGATGCAGCAGCCAACACCAGACTGCAGCAGCCACCTCCACACACTTGCCGTTTTGGCTCGGTTTCGGTTGCTTTTCTTTTTTTCGGTTTCTGCATTTTCATTTTTTTCAGACTTCAGTCAATGCACTCTCTATGACGTCGTCGTCGTCTGACTGCACAAAATGAAAAAGTTTCGCAAAAAAAATAATGAAATCCAAGGCCCAAAAGGATAAACTTGAAACAGAAAAAAAAAACCATGCATTTGGGAAGTTGTGTTAGGACTTAAAAAATATCCTTTAGTTAAATAAAATGTATGAAACATGTTTTCTGAATTAAGAACAGTAAACAGTTATAATAAATAAAGATCTGAATCTGAGAACAGATAGTCAATTAAATAAAGTTAATAGAAATTGTTTCTACTATTTAGAAGGGTATATTTTATGTTTTTTAAAATTCTCTTGAAAATCACATATCTAACTTATAAATTTTGTTGATCTATACAACCCAACCGCATTCATAGTTCCCAGGGTATGAAGAACAGCAGTTCCACAACCAGCAAAACAACACAAAAAGTTGAAAAAAAACACTCGTTGCATTTTGCTTGTTTTGTTTTTCTTTTACTTTTTTTTTGTTGCACAAAAAGCGAAAAACAAGAATGATTATTAACGCCTGTTGGGTATGCCACAGGACGATGTCTGCAGCGGGTCCAACTGCAGCCACAGCCACCGCCACAGCTACAGCTCCATCTCCAGTTCTGGATTCTGATTTCTGAGTTCTGGATGTTGGATACTGGCTGCTGGCTGCTGAATGCTGGGGCTCCCACTCAGACTCCTCGAAACCAAAGTCAGGCTACTGTGCAAACACTGGGCCGCATGGCTGTGTGTTGCTTTTTTGGTGCATTCGCCTGCAGGTTGGATGCAAAATGCAACCGGGCAAAAACACAACAGCCTCGGCAAGAACATGTCACAGACCCGCGGGCGGGAAAAGTTGGGGACTCACCGCCGTGACAGAGCCCCCGATTCCCTCACTCATTAGGCTTCGCTCGCTGCACTTGTGTCTGCACTGTATCCTGGCAAAGTCGGGAGTCGGGATTCGGAGCCCTGCATCCTGGACTTGGACTCCGTCTCAGGCAGTTGCAAATTACGCTCTCAGACTCAATTGTCTTGAGCCTTCGGAGACTTGGCTGGAGAACGGGGACCCGAAACGACAACAATGCCTGCATTTAAACGCAATCTTCGCAATGGCTAGACAGACAGACTCAAACTCCAACTCAAGCTCAGACACACATTCCCTTGGGGCGATACGAAGCACAACACAAAAAAATTGCATTGGGGCGTAAGGGCAGCTGGGGGCGTGGCCAAGGTGGCAAAAGCGTCGCGTCATCGTCGCGTCTGGCACTTGAGATTTTTGTATATGTTCATTAGAATGTTCCTCCTCATAACGATGAGGATGGGTGCTTGAACGCCCTGAAGTAGGCAACACTTTTGGCATGCACTTCTTTGATGCATGTGCAATTTCTGTGTGAGGTACAGTTGTGCGTGCAGAATTTTGTGCAAACGTTTACGCAATGCAAATTGTGAAGGATAGATGAAGATATTTAGTAAATTCATAAGCCTTCTTGTGTGAAAACTTGTTCAGTTTTATAAAAATTGTTATTGATTCAGGAAATAAAAGATTTACAGCCGAATAAAGAAAACTAAAATACAATTGCAATAAATCAAACATAGTTTTTTCCAAATGCAGATTGAATAACGACAATTTTCTTAAATGAATGACATTATCAGACTTGTAATAAATTGCCAACGCTGACTTTATTGCATTCAAACATAAATGCAATTCCATTTACTGCAATAAATATTATATCAAATTAATGTGTGGTATTTTTTTTTATTTCAGAACCTGTCCATGGATTTATGAGGTACGTAAAGCCCTCACCACCGCATTTAGCATTTAAATCTGTTCATGGGCACAAAAGCCGCTTACGATTAATGCTCGTGTGGCAAGCCCAGCCGAAAACAACCTGCATAAAAAATTTACAAAAAGTCGAAAAAAAAATCCAAAGCAAATAAAATTATAAACGAATCTATTATGACAAGTGCGTGGGCCGTACAAAGTATTTTTTTTCCGTCCGCATTTATTTTTTATATTTCCCATTTCGACAAAGGCCCCAGAATACGGGGGCTGCTGGCTGTCCAAATCATGTTGAAGTGTGTTTAAAGCTGAGGGAGACCCATCATCGTGTCAAACGGCAGCCGTGGCAGCGGCAGACAAGAAAACCTAACGATCAAATTAATAACGCCAACAAAAGAGACCCGATACCTGTGCCTCTGCCACGCCCGGCCAAGAAATGAAAAAAAAAAGATTGTTGGAGAAACAACAATGGGATACAACAACAGCGACAGCTGTGATTGACAACTATGTTGAAATATCAAATTATAATTTCATAAATAGATGGGAAATAAAAGAAGCTAAGAGGCTTTAAAATCGGGTAATTGCCTGATCTATTAGGGCTGGGTGTGGATGTGTATCCGCCGCAGAGATCTGTTGGCCCAGATTGAAGGTCAATGACAACACGTACAAGCATAATTGATTATTAAACTGACAACGGTCCCTAAACAGTACTTATAGGGTGCGGTGAACCGCGGAGCATGGAAATTCATTAACCAAGATTAAGAAAACATGTTTTAATTTCATGCCTCGGATATCGGGCATTAAAAGCGAAAGAATTTTAATTGCCACTTGGCCGGTGGCAGCCTTGAAATCGCTCGACTCGTGAACTAGAAAATAAAAACAGCAACCGCAATTGGCTTTGGCATTCACATGCTTCGTTATGGCCATATGAAAGTGCCACATAATTCTGTATATCTCCCAAAGGCCCGGGGCAAAACAATTTTCACACCGCACAACCTGCAATGGTAATATATATATATGTATATATCGATATATACACGAGTATATCCATCCGTGGGTTAGCTCTTCACCATTTTGGGGGCAGCGAAAATGAAAAACCAATCAATGCCCGACTGCAATATCCATTGCGGTTAATGCTGTTTTCTGGTGTCGGCTGTTTGGTGTCTGGTGTTTGGTGTTTGGTGTGTTTGCTGTTCGGGGCGTAGTTCTAGTTTAAGAGCGTCGCATTCGTATGTGGGCTGCCTTTTTTTTGGCCAGGGGTTCCGACCACGTTTCCCTCCAAACTTGAAAAGAAAGTGGCTAGGATTTTCGGTCAAAGCCTACGCTTTTTTCGGACTCAGTTTTAATGCTTGCCGATTTTTACGACTATTGAACTTGGGGTTATAGAAAACATTCTTGTTTAATTGATTCTTCCTCAAGGATTTCTGCGGGTGATCGTCAACAGTTAAGCGATATCTTTTTATTCTATCTTGGGGGTTCAAACTTTGTGGCTTATTTCCTTGGGGTTAGACATGAATAGATACCGTGATCTTTTAAATCACTTCGGATGCATCACCTGCAGGTGGCCATTAAAATGTGAGTCATATTTATATGTGAATTTTATGAAGGTTACTATTTATGGTTTTATTTTATTATATTTTGATTTTGTATTTATGTAGGAAATCTATGATAAATTGTAAAACTTTATAGTCAGGCAAACATTTGGTCGTGACTACAAGTAATTTTCTTAACTTGTTAAAGATTCACTTCACCTGACACTTGTTACATTGATCTATGATCCTTTTACTGCCCTAAGAAAAATAATAACCATTTCAGCAAAAAGCCATAGCATTTTTAGTACTCAATAAATATAAACCTAAGTATGTCCCCCGATAAATCTCAAGATATTTAAGCTCTTTCCAATCTTAGCTGGAAGCTTCGACTCGAAGGAACCTTTCTCCAGAGTTCTAGGAGGAAATTAATTTTAGATTAGTTTTCCTTAACAGCTCCGGAAGCGGTTTCATTAAAGATTTGTACTATATTTTTGCCCCATAAATCAGGAAGTGTATAAAATACAACCCATGACAGACCCACTCCACTAAGTGGCCGCTCCCACCGATGAGGCACATTCATACGAGTATACGAGTATATGATGCGGCATGTAGGGTAGCCAACCTCTTGGGCTTATAATTATTGTGAGGCAACCCGGTTTGCAAGCTGTGCAGAATTTTTAGTTTACGAGCACATAAATGTAATTGGATGCGCAAAAAATATTACAGTATCCAGAGGAGAGTGTTTATGAATTTGCACACTCGCACATACACTCGCACACACTGGATGACTAGTCTGCAATTTGCGGCCAGCTGCAGTTGCACAAGGCTCTTGCGCATGGGCAAAAGCCGAAACGTGTCATCATCGATTATATGGCCAGGAATAAAATGGAGGAGGAGAGGGGGGAGGGGCGCGGGGCTAAATCGGGAGCTGGGCAAACAAGTGGCTGTTACTATCGCTTTGTGTTATCGCTGACGCTGGCAGTCCCCTGGGCGCGTAACTCAAAGCGACAACACTTGACACTAATTAATACATACGCACCGACCTGGGAGCATTCTCTCCAGCCATTTTCCAACAACCAACTAACATCTACCATTCCATTCTCCGTTTTCCATTTCCCGCCTGCCACCCACTCGGCTTGTCGACGCGCTCGTCGCATTTCAATCAAGACCACGTCAGTCATTCACTCAGTCAGTCAGTCAGCCAGTCAGTCATTCAGTCAGTTGAGATTCTGGCTTGATAAAGTTGTTTGAAAGTGTTGCAGGTTGCACACACAGAGACACGCATAGTTGACTGCCTAACTGGCACATTGACTGCAGCAGCAGCAGCAGCAGTTGCAGTAGCAACATCAGCAGCAGCAGCAGCAACACTTGCTACAACAGCAACATTCAGGAGTAGGAAGCAGCCGGCTTGAAGAGGGTTCCCCATTGTACTGGGCGATGCTTATCAGCTTGTCGTCGTCGCGGTCTCCTGGCTCACGCAGCCCCTCCTCCCCGTTGGCACCACCCACTCAGTAACGCCCCTTTGCAGAACCACCCACCGCCCAACGAGGCGCTACTTGATAATGTTTACCGTTGCACTTCCTACGCCGATTAAGGTTAGCGCACTTTAAGTCAGAGATTCAGAGGCGACGGGGTGGCCAAAGTTCAATTAACACTTGCATGTTTGAGAGAGGGTGAAAAAGGGGATTAATTATCAGTTAATTAAAAAATATTACAACCTGCTTGAAAAAATTCAAAAGTTATTGCAATTACGGTTAGGAATCCCAACACAAATTGTTCGAGATATGGAATATGAAAGTGGTGTCACCTTTTTGAAAACCGTCGGAAACTTGGAAAATCCGGAAGAACAGGCGTAAAAAAGTCCACCATTAGGAAATGGAAAAATTTAAATGCATTTCGTGTACGAATCCCAGCACAAATATTTAGAAGTGAGCCACTTTGGAATTCGATAAAAATTGTTTGAGCTATTTATAAATAACTTCCCCAACGAATTGTTTGCCCAAAAACCAAACTTACCAGAAAAAGCAATACACAAGTGTTTTCCTTTATTCTCTTCTTAAGTCCAACCCTCGCCGTTTAAAGCTGTAACCTAAACCCTTAAGAAAATTCAAATCAGGCCCATAAATAGTTCCAAAATAAAAACTTATTAAGTAATTTGAGCAACATTCCCATTCAGGTTCGCGCTGATTTGACTTTAATATGAAATTTTACACACCAATAAGCCACATTTAACTGTCAAATTTCCAAAGCGAAATATGCAAATTAAATGCGGTAATTCTGGCATTTCCTCTGTTATTATGGCCAACGTGCCGCTTTTTATTGACCAATTAAAAATGCTTGGGATTTTGGGCCGTAGGCTGGCTGAAGGAGTGAGACGGGAAATGATTCATCTAAGTCGAGAGCTGTCTCTCAAGTCATCAAGGAAGGCATATCAACCATTTTGGGCCTCTGGCATTTTATTTGTGTATGCTTTTTTGACAATGCCACAGACAATGATCGATGAAGTTGCGCCTTGGACTTTAGCTTTATGGCCGAAATCGAAATCAGGCAGAGAATGAAATCGAAAATAAATTTTCAATTGATAACAAAGGAAAATCGACACAAACTGGCATTAATTTTCGGCTCTTTAGAGCCAACTTTGACACCCAATGCTGAATAAATGCTTAATTAACACTCAATGGCGCGCCTAAAGCGAATTTTGGGTGGGGGTTTTGGGGTAAAGGGGGTTAAGGGGGTGTTTCCAGCTAAATTGCGGCAATTGAAGGCGCAACGAATGCAACTCAAAAGTCCAAAGCTGAAATTAAAGGTTTTTTTGGGACAAAAAGTAAACAACGCCAAATTGACATTTCGCCTCTCGACAGGCAGCGAAAAATGTAGTTTTTTTTTTGGCTATTTCGTATGGTTAGTTGTGGTGGAAAACCGCAGCCAGAAGAAGGCAAGCCCAGCAGGTCGCCGCAGAAATTCGCGAATAGAAAATGACAGTTGCAGTTATTCGGTACGCCAATCGTTGGAATCAACAAAAGCCGCAGTCGTCGAGTCACTAAAAATGACTGACTTGACTGACTTTGTTTGGCCAATTGCCGATTGCCGATCCGATCGCCATTTGGAACGGGCGGGCGGAAAGTGAAAAGCGGCACCTGAGGGCAAAAGGAGTTGCGGCATTGCATCATGCCCCGCGGCCTTTCAGTGTAGTCGTGAGTGTCTGTGTGGGTGCACGAGCAATCGATGATCGGATCGCGTTGAAATCTACTCGCATGTAACGTTTAAATTTGTTGGAAAGTCCACCGATACCAACTGAGCTGTGGCTTTTCATGCCTGCTTCTCGTTTTATTTTTCCACAGAAAGAAATGCAAATCGAAATGGCAAACGAATATTACTCCAATATAAATCATAACCCTGCTGATATATAAATATATGAATCACATAAGGTTGTTCCAAAGAATCACTTTCATTCATCACAAATTTATTGACCTTT